AGGATATGACCAGTTTTACGACGTGTTGTACATGTTCGTGTGGGTTAATTGGATAAGGTTTGTACTACCATTAGGTCGTGCGACGATAGATAGGGGAATCAAGGGCCTGATGGGAAGGTATAGGTACCTAGTTAGCTTGATAGGTCATATCCATGTTGGAGGGCGGGTAGGCGTACTGCTGTAAGTCCTACTCGTTCTTCCGGTGTGGATTAGGAGATGAGAGGGAACCCTAAATAGAAATGTCATTAACGCTCGCTTTTTGCATGGAGGGATTTCGCGGGCCGGTGTAGAATCTTTTTTGAATGTTTTGTTTTTTGGAAAATCCCTCCATGTTTATATATTTTTGTCATGACATGACGGACTCTTTCTGTTGACATTTTGGTATTTTATTTGATTCCAATTTGAGATTTTATCATTGTATATTGTTATTACTTCTATATTTTGTACTTATATTGAATTTTTTATGTTTGCTTCTGAACTGTACACATGTTGTTTAAATTTGATATAATATGGCTACAGCCACATTTTTGGATTTGATATCGTCGCAGTATACTAGTTTCACCTAGTCTCTGGAACCTGCATACTCATCAGAGTAATTTCGAACTGGAAGACGTAAAAATCGTTAGGTAACGTTTGTATTTCCATTTCTTCTATATAAATAGACCACTTTCTCCTAGAATTATTGTGTTTTGATATTCGAATAGAAGAAGGTGCGTCCAACATACGTCTATTGGAATCGAAATGAACTGCTACGGTAGAAAATCCAACTACAAATAGTCCTTGATTATACATAAAGAAAGTTAGGAAGAATTGAACCTAGCATTTTTTTTATTAGGGATGATTCGTTGGAGAAATGTTTGGAGAAGTTTAGACTGTGTAATTAATGTACTCCTAGATCGGATACTGATGTGAGTTTAGGCAGTATATTGCTGCTGAGGGTGAAAATTATTTTGCAGATGTCTCCAGAACATAGCCGGCCACATTTTTCAGTAAGTTCTAAGTTCCAGTGCCTACATCAGTTATATATATTATTATGTTCATACTGGTTTCTTTGCATCGAATTTCTTATGTTACATTTTTTAGTTTTATATATCACCTTTAGGTCATCATCGTAGAGGTAGGTTTTGCTAGTGTTGGGGCGATCACATGTACTGCTGATGCAGATTATGAAACGCAGTGGATCGAAGACAATCCACTCCACGACACCACTGTTAATTGGTCGGGGTATAAGTTTTCTCGGGTTTATTTTTGTGGTATGGTATCTGTTCGTGAAAAAAGTTCTAAATCATTGCATTCGGGGGCCAGCAATCTCGATGAATTGTGAGGTACCTTATCGAAAGCCTTCTTGATATCAAAATATCACACCACGACATTCATCCACTTGAGCTACAAATTTTCTCCATTTGTTGCTTTTGATCATTAGAATTCGTAATTCTTCTGAAAGAAGACCAAACTCCCAGGGCAGAGTTTAAATGATTTGAATTATGCTTTCTGGTTAGCGGTTTTTTAGCGAGTTGGTTTTTTTGTTGGATGGGGTCGTCAGCTCCATGCCTAACACTCCTCCTTTATCCGTGCGTGGGACCGGCAGTAGCCTCAGAGGTGCTCCAGGCGGAGTTATGAGCCAAGTCAATCAGTAATCAGTAGGGAAAGCTGTAATGAACCCGGGGTAACCAGTTGGTTTTGATGTTGGTAATTAAAATCACTAATACTTGTAGAATCCTTTTTGAATGTTTTGTTTTTTGAAAAATCCCTCCATGTTTACATATTTTTGTTATGACATGACGGACTTTTTCTGTTGACATTTTTGGTATTTTATTTGATTCCGATTTGAGATTTTATCATTGTATATTGTTATTATTTCTATATTTTGTACTTAAATTGAAGTTTTTGTGTTTGCTCCTGATTGTATATATGTTGTTTAAATTTGATCTTTAATATGGCTACAGCTATATTTGGATTGATACAGTGGCCGCTGGACTTAACGTCACTTATCTATCGTTATTTCTGATACTCTTCGGAGTAATTGTATCCTGGGAGGAGCATTAATTTCAGGTAATGCTTTGTATTTCCATGTCTTTATTAAATAAGACCGCTTTCTCCTAGAATTTTTGTCCTTTTTTTTGATTTGTTTGGACCTGGGATTGGGAGAAACGAGTACAGGAGTGCACCTATTGGAACCCATTGGAACGGCCACTGTAGAAATCCATTTACAATACTGACTTCGGTTTACTAGAATATGGCAAAAGCGGTGTGATAACCTGATCACATATGACCTTGGTGCTTTATGTAGACTGTTAGGCGCGGAGTCATGGATGTGATGATGCAGTCTACGAGCATTCATGCTGATACATTTTCCAAGCGTTAACTCGACCGCCTGAGAGACAGGGTGGAAAATGAGCAAGTTCATTTGTTTAAATCGAATCCATTGTAAATGCACGTTTCTTAAAAATTAGGCCTGTCGGTGGTCTGTGTCTCTCTCTACCAATGCAGACAAAGCTCACTTATAAGGTGGTCGTGTGCATTTATTATAGAAAATTCACTTCAGTGAACTTTGATTTCGGAAACAGTTAGAAGTCAGATACGCGCCTTGCCCAGTCCAATTTCAAAACACAACTTTTTTGGGTAGGAACGGTTCTATTATTATTCAAAAAAGAAATATAGACAATTACTTAAACAATATTATATTGTTCCGATCCTAAATTAACTCAATGAGTTTCCGATTCTGGAAGAATGCGTCATTCCGGTCGAGAATACGAAGTTACCGCAGAGGTACCAAATCCGATATGGCTGTAGCCATATCAAGCATCAATTTAAACAACCCGTTTACAGTCTAGAAGGAAACATATAAACTCCAATAAAAGTACAGAAAATAGGAAGTGTAACAAAATACGAATATTAACATCCCAAATTGGGACTAAACAGAGCACCAAATTACTGAACAGAAAGAGTCAGCAAGATCATAACAAAATATATACATGGAGGGATTTTCCCGAAAATGGAGCCTTCAAAATGGATTCTACACTAATTAAGTGGGATGACATGCAATAACCAGTTGATTAGATATGGGGCCGAAGTTAGGAAAATTTAAATGTTCTGTCGGAAAGTGTTTATAGCCTCATTTCGAAGCAAGGGTTTATCAAACCGTAATAGAAAATGCTACTGTCAAATGTTGTAAAAAAGCATAAAAACAACGAAGTTGTACAGCACGTGGGTAGAGTTAAGATTTTTGTAATTTGTATAAACCGAATGAATAAAGATGGGATGATGTACGACGGTAAAAGGTATGGTGAGCGAGTCAGATACCAGATTGACTATGCTCACCACTAAATGTTCCATAATATCCCGCCGTTATCAGATCAAAATAAATCCACGGTCCAAGGTTTTATTGAAGGAGAGAGTAGGCATTACATGGGGAGCAGCGCGTTTAGAAAAATGGCAGCAACGCAAAGAGAACGTTGCGCGCAAGAAGTGGAAGAAGTGTTTTTGGTACAGTTAAGCAAAACGAGTACAATAATGTTTTTTTTTCACTAATCGTATTTTCTTCGTAGAAGAGTCCCACTACAAGGGCATGGAAGATTTAAAGTCGGTGATGTAGTGCATTTTAAAATGTCTGTTAATGATGCATTTTAATTTCAGTAGAGCTGAGCCTAAAGAATATAGCGTTACACCAGTGATGTGAAGTTCTCTGCGAGCAAAATGTTTCTAAAGGTCTCAGTTTGAGGTGTGGGAGCTGGCTTTCATTTGGAAATTTATTTGTTTCTTCATTCTTCGCGAGAAACATATTTTTATCAATTTTGATCAATCTAAAACATTTCCCACACTATAATATTCACTTCTGTGAGGAATTAATTAACCGTGGAAACGTTAAAATACTGATTTAGTTGAAGGTGGATAAAACTCTCCAGTAACATGATTGAGAGCGCACACCCAAGCTCATACAAAGTTTTCTCACTGCTTTGTTGTAACTTCGAATACTCTCCCACTGGAAGTGATCTGAGCCATCTCAGGGGATGGCTTCAATTTAGGCTTCACAAACACAAAGTCACATACGAATTATCACCTTCCCCTTGAAACAGCGGTGTTCGATGCATTCCTCGAAACTTGATAGCTGGAATTACTGCCATTTCCTCAGGCCACCAACTTATTCTATTTCGCTTATGGACTCTGTTTCCTCTCCTTTGCTTACACTTCTGTTCCCACACAATTTTTCGTGCCAGCTAATCAACTTATTTAAGTACATATTTAGTTCTAAAACTTTACTGTTATCAGAATTTGCTCCTTTTTTCTCTTTACAACAAACTGATCTCCGATCTAGCAACGTGATAGCAGCTGGTATCCAGAATAACTACTTCCCTCAGACAAAAACACTCGATCAAATCAATGGGCATACGAATTCATAAATAAATGTCAACTGATCGTAATAAGTGCATTCGAGTGGCTAGACTGCCATCCATTAGACAGTACCCAACAACTCACACCTTATCGAAAGAGCAAGAATCGAGCTCAAAGAAATCACTTGACTTATACTAGCTCGGTGGATATTGGAATCGAAAGCCAGGTTTCTAAGTTTACTCACTCCGACGTGACGAAAGATATCGCAACTAGCTATCGTTAGATTTATAAAATCTTTTAGTGTTTCGTAAGCCTCCTCAACATTTTTGAAGTAGAAACGGAAATAAGAAACCAACAGGGTTGTGATTGTGACTCATGAGGATAATACTACCAAAAGCCTGAAACCGTACCGGAAGAACAAGAATCAAACTCAAAGAAATCAAATGGTTTATACTACCTCGCGAAAAGGATATTGGATGAAACACATAGTCACAGAGGTATTTACTAACATGTATTCCCTCTAAAAATTACACCATTTCGATAAAAAATTGAATTTTCAGAGTTTCACCAAATATAACAAGTGACGAGTTACATAACAAAACATTCATTTGTTTGAATAGTTACGCTCGATTAGTGGTACATTTGATCAGCAGTCGTGGTTGCTGGCCATGGTAAGTTAAGTTCTAGCGTCCCCAACCCTGTTTTGAATTTAAATTGGATACTAATTTACTTTTGTACAGAGTGAAAACACTTTAATCCGAACGAGGAAGTTCATGTCCAACCGCTTGTTATGTCGCAAGCAAATGGTGGTCGATATTTTACACCCTGGACGTAGCGTCCTTTCGAAGAGTGAAATCCGAGAAAAACTTGCTAAGACCTACAAAACTTCTCCGGATGTTGTCTTTGCATATGGCTTCCGAACTCAGTTTGGAGGTGGCAAGTCGACAGGATTTGCAGTTGTGTATGATTCTTTAGATCATGCTAAAAAGTTTGAAATGAAATACCGTCTTGCTAGGGTAAGGCAGTTTGTTACGTAGAAATATTTTGTAGAACAACTTAGTGACAATCCCACAAAAAGGAAGAAAATTAAGAAAGGAGAGGAAGAACAAGGCCAAAAAGTTCCGAGGTACGAAACAAAAGAAATCCAAGAAGGACTCCTAAATCTGTACATAAATAAATTGGAATAAACGGTCAGACTCGGAAATTTTGTCTTCTTAAAGCTCCTTTCTATAAGCTCCCCACTTCGGAATATATAACCTAATGATTTTATTTGGCGGCTTGTTTTTGAACTGAATATAGTGTCCACATCAAAAACGCTATTCGAACATTTTCGCTTTGATAGGTTTAGCAATTCAATCAACCTGTTATCAGACTATAGGCACGGCGAAGCGATTTTGTGTTTGGTGTATTACCACTAACAACAGTTCTAAGTGTTGCCGTCTTCATGGGATCCAACCACAGTGATAGTTTCGAAACTAATCTTGTGTAAATCGAAGCACCCTTTTGTCACTTTTTAGGTGAATATCGGCAGTAAATCCTACCTGGATGTGATGTTCGGGCGTGCCTTTTGTGAGCTATCCTTGCTGGGACTTATGTCCCTCTCACACTAGTAGCATCTACTACGATGCTGCCTTCTCACAAGGACGGAAAAGGTTGACAATAAAAATGTCTTCTACACCTTCTTTTCCATGAGTTTCCATCCCCGGCGAAGGCTTTATGAAGAGCAGAGCTAACACAAACTTCTCATACAAAGGCCATGCTTGACCGACCTCTAGCGGCTTTCCTTTGGGCTCCGGTCACGCTCCCAGGTCTCTAAAACCAACGCTAATCTACCTTCCTTTTCAGGTTCCTCAGGAGGGAGTGCCATTTCACGATGTGGGCACTCGGCAAGTGATATCCGACTTCGTACCCTTAGCAACATAATAGACTGAATTGTTCATAATGAAGTCTGTCCTACATTATATAGCTCGGTTAACTGTACGACATACCCTTCTCATTGTCTGTGGTTGGGCATTCATAACACATGTCTTAATCACCTCGACTGGTGAAGTTTCAATACTTCGTCTGTTGATTTGCTAGCCCCACCCAGTACTCGCTTCTTAAAGATATCATTGCTAACTTGATTGTCACAAGGTACACGAGCAATGCTTCGGAGACACCTATGATCAAATACTAATAACATTTGAATATCCTCTTTTCTTGCCGCCCATATTTCTCATCTGTGTAGTAGGACGGAGCGGACTACTGCACATTATACTCGTCCTTTGGTTAGCGAACGGATATGTCGCCTACGCCATAAGTGACGCAAGTTGACAGAAGCCTATAGTGTTCTAGTAGAGAGCTGGTGTAAGATTTATGTACTGTTTTGGTACACCTTTTAATGACAGACCCTGCCAAAGAACCTCACGATCAACGTAGTCGGATGCCGCTTCATGTCGAGAAATATTACTATTGTGGGGCGTTTTAATATGTTTCCTTGTTCTAGGACTTGACGTAGTTTGAATATCTGGTCTATAGATTTGCGTCCAGGTCGAAAGTCAGCCTGGTTTAGTCCTGTCTGCTCTTCACGAGCTTTCGTTAAGCGTCGGAGTATTTTAGATACAATCTTTTAGTTAAACTGATTCCTCTGGGATTGTTTCGAGAGGAATTTTTTCCTTTCTTATGGACGGTGATTGAGACCAGTCGGATAAGATAACGTCCAGTCCTTAGATTCTACCTAAGATCTCAGTCAATCTAACTGCTAAAACTGGACCTCCATCGTTGAAAATCTCAGGGGTAAGCCTGTTTGGCCCTGCTGCTCTCCCTTGCTTCAGATTTTCTCTAGCTTTTGAACTTCGTTCGGAGCCAGGTGGGATGAGTTTCCGAGCGTCTATCAGTTCGGTGGATACTACAGAGATCCACAGCTCATCCCTTACCCTACAGTTTACACTACTAGCAGATATCATTGCTGTTTCCACAGCTTTTTGGATATCGTTCCAAGCTGCTTTCGGATGGGAATCATTTAAATTGCCGCCCGTTTTTCTAATTGTTCTTGAAATATATTCTTAGCGATTCTATCATTAAGTAGAACCCAAACAGGTTTTCTCGCAATGTGTGTGTGTGTGAGTCGCAAACAAATACATGCTCTTGCTAGAGCATGATCTGAATCTAGACGTGCTTCAGAACGAGCGGCAGTCCTCTATCGAACCCCTCCATCGGTGGCTGATGGTAATGTGATCTAGTTTGGTCCAGCGTTCAGACGACTTTGTGGATTGCTGTGTCAAAAGATGTTTCGCCTTGTGCTTAAAGTTAGTGCTTGCTACATATAGGCGGTTATCTGAACATAGCTGTAGCAGGCGGTCTCCATTATCAGCTCTTCGGGCTGCGACACCATAAGATCCACCCAGGTGTTTTTCCTTTTCACTTAGTCTACCTAATTGATCATTCAAGTTACCAGCCACTATTACCATGTCAGAGCGCTTCACTTTTTAAAGAAGGTCCGAAAGCTTTCTGTAAAACTCATCTTTCACCTCGTCTGAACTGCAGTCAGTGGGAGCGTGGACAAATACGACGAAGAGGTAACGGCGTGTCCTTATCTTTTCGAGTCCTTGCTGTCCCGTTTAGTCGGACAGCGCATAAGCGACTATCTACTGGGATCCAGTCTAGTAGAGATAGTTCAGCCGTACGACCCAATCCTATACCTACACCAGCGAGACCCCGGGAAGCAGCATCAGGGCTACCGGATAAACGAAGAGTAAATCGAGCTGCTTCTTTGTTTTTTCAAATTGAAATCAAATTAATGATTTTACTAGGTTCCTGTATTTGCGTTTCCGAGACGCAGCATACATCGATGGTACGAGATTCTAAAGTCCTAGC